CCCCCCCCAAAATAGAACATTCCAAGCGAAAAAAGTCATTCACTACTCATGTTCAATAGCTTAAAGAAACCCTTTATCTAGACCAATTTTTCCAAATAACGTGGAGAGAAAACTGCTGTAGAAAATCCTTTATTTTAAAGAAAGTATAAAATATTTCAAAAATCGAATTTTCTTCTTTTTCTTTGATTATCTTGAAAATCTTCGGAGGACTTACCTTTCTTTTCTCCATCAAGTTCTTCCACGTGGGCGGTGTGGTGTATTCAGTAAGGTCTTCTTAATTTTGTTTCATATTACAAAACCAAATTATTTGGTGTGCAATTTAAGCTAAAATTTCTAAAAAAGGAATTTGAAATGGTTTTTCAAGACAAGTTCAGTTGACGAAATTTTAAAAACGCATGGCCGAATGGCTTTTTTATTGGTTATAAACCTCCAACATTCGGCCAATCTTGGACGATCTTGAGTGGACACCTGTTGAAGACAATACATGGGATTAAATACACCATCCCATTTCCGTACTTCTGTATTTATCCAGTAAAATTCCTTTGTAATTATCTAATGTCTGTCATATCTTCTTTTGGTGTAGATTTTCGCCAATTGTTGTTCAAGACGTTTTTTGAAAAATGTGTTTGGTCCCAAAAAACGGTAATGATCCGCATCTACTTTTTATTTTCCGAGCACATTGCTCACCAAATATCACTTTTTGACAATCTGGGTGTTTTTTTCAGTCAAATGCTCTTTGTTAGATTATTGGCATATCATTTTTTCTGCACGTCTCCATTTCATCACAAGTTTGTGCCTTGGGAAATTTTGTAGTCAGATTTGACGTTTTCCTTTTTTGAGAACGGATGTTGTTCAAATCACTTTGTCCTAAACAATGGTTCAGTATCGAATCTGCATCATTTGATATTTCGATTATTGGTTTGGAAGTACTTCGATTTCAAGATCAAGATGCATTCCTAAACGAGTTGCTGTTGTGGTTGGTTAAATCGAGGATACACTGCTTTTTGTACATGTAATAAGCACTATTCGCTTTTAGATTTTAATATGAAAGTAACTGTGATTTTCTGTTAATAAAAAACGTAATATGAAAATTGAAGCATGTAGATTTAGAAAGCCTATACTCTGGCTCTGGCATTCGTTTAGCAAACTAAATTATTATTAAATTAATTAATCGATCCTGTATCCATTTTATAGAATTATAAATTCTGTATATCAAACTTTAGTTCCGTGTTGGCTATTGTGTCTTTATTACATAGCATTGGTTTAAATATTACCATATCAATTGTTTATATCTAGTATGTTGGGAAATATTTTTTTGTGCAATTCAGGAAAGTTTGCATGAAATAAAAAAATTATTTGCTGCTACTGCTTACAAGTTTTGGTCAGAACACCGACCAAGACGTCATTTAGTTACAACACTTTCTAAAAACTTTTTAAAAGGTTTTGTGAGCCAGAGTATAGTCACCAACACATCATCAACATTTCCACACAGGTATTATCAACATTAACATGAATTCGACCAATCTCTCATTAATATCTTGACATTGCATGAACAAATCATTGCTCTTCTGAATAAATATTAGGGGAAAACCTAAACTGAAAGTTTCTCGTGTATTTTGGTGAAAATCTTTTGGTAAACTTTTGCCAAATAAACTTTAAGTTGGTCATTCTTTTCACACAGATTAAAACCTTTACTCAACAATTTCTATAGTTTAAGAGGTGATGACATTTGGGATGCATACGGAAGATCTATATTTTTGGAATTGGTCGGAAAAAAGCTGAAAATCATAATTTATTGAAACTTCTGAATGGTATATAATTTCCCTGGACCAAACAGAGACAACAATGACTTCTTTTGGACAATCTGGACCAGTGTGTCCAGCACATCTGAAGTATTTTTTTACTTCAATTTCCGCTTCTATCTAAATGAGTTAGTTCCCATTTCTGTAAAATTTTCAGACTAATTAAAATCATCCTTTTTCACCTTTCTGCCAAATATATATGCTGAACGGAGCTAACGGTGGTTTTAGATATGCCTATATGCCAGGTGACAGCCTTCTTCCTTGGACCACATTACCTGTCAGAGTTAGTCCACTGTGTGTATCACGTTGGTCGTGGCCCAGACTGAGTGCAGCACACTGGTCAGTGGGACAGCCTTTCGGATCCCTGGATGGGAGCGACAGGCTGACGGAACCTATATGCAGCAAAGTTTGTTGGACTTCGCCAAACATTCAGTTCCAAACCAAGTGCCAAAACTAAACTAATATATTACCAAATCTATGTAAAACCTTGTATCACTTTTGAATTATTTTGATGAAATACTTCAATCGGAAAATGTGTTCTGGAAACAAGGTGCTTTTTAAAATATTTTTTTTTCACTTTCAATAGTTGGTTTCATCACAACTATTTTTGTGTATCAATTTCATTTTTTTTTTCTCCGTTTTTGTGGCGCATTTTTTTTTTTTAAGAGGGAAAGAGAAAAAAAGAAAAAGAGAATATGTTAGTATGCAATAAAGATGGGGAAATGCATACATGTAAAATAAGTGGGGTAAAATTTACATGTGAACATAATCAAGTTCATTAACAAAATATCATCTTCAGTTATAACGTTCCCTACACTGATCACCATTTGAAAACTGTTGTTTTTTTGATCCTGCTCAATACTTCATTTTGACAACAGAATTTCAGATCATTTTTTTTTTTTGCAAACCAGATAAATCTCCAACTTGAACCAACATCAACTAAACACAACATTTCAATAACACATGCTAGACTTGAATGTTAGGAACAATGAAACCCTTGCCAATCTATAGCCCGTATTAGAAAATATTTCTATCATAGTTGACATTTAGTTTTTTGAGTGCTATTGATGGAAAAGGGTTTAAGAATCAAAATACAACCAGAATTGCAAAACACTTCTTTTGAACACAATATAATTTTAAATCTGTTGTGTTCATGCATACCAAGTCTTGCTTGCAGGTTCTGGTTAATTAGTTGGGAGAGAAAAAAAAGTGTGTAAAATTGTAGGGTCAGTTTTTACAGATCATCTAAAGAAAACAACATCCTTGTAACCATTAGGCGTTATAGCAGCCTGAAGTAATATTGATCAAACAATTTTGAAATTTTTGTCTTGCCCCCCCCTCCAATTCGAAAAAACGGCAGAGCCAATGGTAAAAGTCTTATATTTTAATCATGAATTATGATGAAGGATAACTACAATGACACAGACCAAGAACACAAATATTAAAAAACAAACACAATGATTCATCAATTTTCCATGAAAATGAAGTCTATGCTTTTGAAATGTTTTCCACAATTAAGATTTTTTGTAGAAACTATTGTCTTTTTTAAAAATATTGAATTTTAAAAATTTCATTTGATGAACTGCTGCATACTGGCATGCCAGTAAATTAGATCATATTTTGACCTTGAGTATCCTTTCAGAATGATTAGTCTGCCAGAGATTCCTTGGTTCCAAGATGTCTATTGGATTTTCAATCAATTAAATCATGTCTACATGATCATAGTCTTTTGATAGCAGATGCCAAATTAAATCCCAAAGATAATGCCATATCTTTCTCCAAAGGCAGAATTTTTGTGCATTCAAGAGATTACTTTTTGGCAAATTTGTCATTCCTACAGGGACACAGTAATTTTACACCACTTAACAAAGAACTGAAAATAATTACAAGAGGTTGATTGCTCAACCCCAATTTTGCCCATATGAGTCCTGGTACCACTGTGCATCATTGTATCCTCCTCCTCCACCATAACCACCAGATTGGTCAAGAGGCTGCTGTGCGATGGGCTGTGCTCCCCAGTTATCCTGGGTGTTGCGTCGTTTTGTTTGGGATTGTCCTATTTCATTTCCTGCTTTTCTTTTTCCTCCTCGGAATTGTTGAACTGGTTTTGGAGGGGGTCCACCACGCCCCCGCATTGCTCCCCTAGGCCCTCGCATAGCTCCTCTTGCTCCCCGTGGAATCATGCCACCTCTAGGACCACCACCCCGTGGTGGTGCGCCTCCTCGACCTCGCATTTGCTGTGGCAAACAATACACGTATTTATATCAACATTAAAGGTTTGCTTTGACAGAATGGGAAAGGCATACAATACAACCATTACATTTTAAATGTACAACCAATATTGCCAGATTGTTCAAGGACATATATACTCATCTTATTTGTACTCAATTGTACACCACAACAATGGTGGTTTCAATTTCATTTTTTCTTTCATGGAATCAGTTTAAAGCAAAAATAATTTTAGTCTTATTTAATTGACAGAAATAACCTGTGATATCAGAAAGTGAAATTAAATTATTTTTAAAAGCACTCAATCAAATCTAAATGGCTTAAAATTTCTTTTATTAAAAGGGTTTCTTGCTCATATACTTTTTCTCTCTCCATATTCGCAATGGAAAAGATACTTACTGGTGGAGGTCCCCCGCGCCCTCCACGTCCTCCTCCTCGTGGTCCAGGATGGTAGCCGTAGTCATAAAAGTCATCAAAGCCATAGTAATCATCATAGTAATCTGAAATATGGTTAACAGTTTCAGCATACGTTGATAAACAACCCTTCTCAAAAATCAAGAACTACATCAAACAAGTCATTTACATCAATAAGGAGTTCAACTCACCATAGCCCCTGGGTGGCATGGGTGGACCAGGGCGCCTCATTCCTCTTTGGTGCATGGGTGGCCTCATTGGTGGGCCCCAGTAATCATCATATCTGGATAAACAATTATATACATATTAAATTCATATTATCAAAGTTTAAAATAAGAAGTTACATCTCAAATGTTTTTGTTCTAAAATCTTCCACATATCTACAGAAAGATAAACTGTAGATTCTGGGAAGCACATTACTTTTTCATCTACACAATCTGGCAGCCAACCCTGCAACTGACAATGCTGAGAGGGACCTGTGTTGTGATAAGGATATGTTAATTGTTTTAGGTACCTACCTACAGTCTGTAAGTCTTATATCTTACAATTCTGAATAGAAATTTTCACTCACTTGTTCATTCTTGCAACTTAATATCTTGCATAGATCAGATCGAGTGTATTCATGTTTCCTATGTCCCTTATCTAATTGTTAAAATGTCTTATTCGTTTTCGAAGTCAATGCAATCTTTAAAAAAACACACCAAACACACAGGAAAACAGCCAATGTTCAAATTTTCAAGGAAATGGGAAGCACACATATATCCTGTCGTGGTCTTAGTTTAACCAAGGCACGATATATTTAATGAAATTTTTAAATGTTAACGTTAAATAGAGATATTTAGAGAGAAGAGAGAGGAGAGGGGGAGCAATAGAGCTTTGCAGAAAGAAAATGAGGGTGGGGAGACAACAAACAGTTAAAGTGGTAAAGATGTTGAGTCCATTTATTAGTGCAACTATTTATTTGATCTGAAATGTAGTAATAATTTTAATTTTAAGAGTCAAGAGGTAGGAAGTTTTATTTCTATCTTTTATTCAAGAATTTAACTAACGGGGGTATAATGTACAATACACATGTATTCTATCCTATTATCATTGATCACCAGAGCCCCTGGGTGGCATTGGTGGACCAGGGTGCCTCATTCCTCCCCTTGGATGTGACGATACTTGTTCTAAAATCTTCCACATATCTACAGACAAATAAACTGTAGATTCTGGGAAGCACATTAGTTTTATCTACACAATCTGGCAGCCAACCCTGCAACTGATAATGCTGAGAAGGACCTGTGTTGTGATAGGGATATGTGAATTGTTTTTGGTACCTACCTACAGTCTGCAAGTCTTATACCTACAAAATATCTTACAATAGTAATTTTCACTCACTTGTTCATTCTTGCAACTTAATATCTTGCATAGATCAGATAGACTGTAAACGTGTTTCCTATGTCCCTTATCTAATCATTTAATGTAAAATTTGTCTTTAAATATCTTGCAAACAAAATAAAAACAAACAGAAAAACAGCAAATGGTCAATTTTCAAGGAAAAGGGAAGCAAACAGAGAGAGGGAGCAATAGAGCTTTGCAGAAAGAAAAAGAGGGTGGGGAGACAACAAACAGTTAAAGTGGTAAAGATGTGGAGTCAATGTGTATCCATTTATTAGTGCAACTATTTATTTCGAGAGTTAAGAGGTAGGAAGTTTCATTTCTATCTTTTATTCAAGAATTTAACTAACGGGGGTATAATGTACAATACGAATGTATTCTATCCTCTTATCATTTATCACCAGAGCCGCTGGGTGGCATTGGTGGACCAGGGCGCCTCATTCCTCCCCTTAGATGTGACGATACTTGTTCTAAAATCTTCCACATATCTACAGACAAATAAACTGTAGATTCTGGGAAGCACATTAGTTTTATCTACACAATCTGGCAGCCAACCCTGCAACTGACAATGCTGAGAAGGACCTGTGTTGTGATAGGGATATGTGAATTTTTTTAAGGTACCTACAGTCTGTAAGTCCTATATCTTACAAAATATCTTACAATAGTAATTTTCACACTCACTTGTTCATTCTTGCAACTTAATATCTTGCATGGATTAGTAAATGTAAATGTGTTTCCTATGTCCCTATCTGATTTATTGTTTAAATGTCTCATTTGTTTTTTAAATTCAATGCATTGACTTATTTTTATGGATGTTGCAATGTAACATGTCTTTAAATATCTTGCAAAAAAAATAAAAACAAACAAAAAAACAGCCAATGTTCAAATTTTCAAGGAAATGGGAAGCACACATATATCCTGTCGTGGTCTTATTAAAAATCAAGGAACGATGTATTTAATGAAATTTTTAAACGTTAAGGTTAAAGAGAGATATTTAGAGAGAAGAGAGAGGAGAGGGGGAGCAATAGAGCTTTGCAGAAAGAAAGTGAGGGTGGGGAGACAACAAACAGTTAAAGTGGTAAAGATGTGGAGTCCATTTATTAGTGCAACTATTTATTTGATCTGAAATGTAGTACTAATTTTAAGAGTCAAGAGGTAGGGAGTTTCATTTCTATCTTTTATTCTAGAACTTAACTAACGGGGGTATAATGTACAATACACATGTATTCTATCCTATTATCATTTATCACCAGAGCCCCTGGGTGGCATTGGTGGACCAGGGCGCCTCATTCCTCCCCTTGGATGTGACGATACTTGTTCTAAAATCTTCCACATATCTACAGACAAATAAACTGTAGATTTTGGGAAGCACATTAGTTTTATCTACACAATCTGGCAGCCAACCCTGCAACTGACAATGCTGAGAAGGACCTGTGTTGTGATAGGGATATGTGAATTTTTTTAAGGTACCTACAGTCTGTAAGTCTTATATCTTACAAAATATCTTACAATAGTAATTTTCACACTCACTTGTTCATTCTTGCAACTTAATATCTTGCATGGATTAGATAAACTTTAAACGTGTTTCCTATGTCCCTATCTGATTTATTGTTTAAATGTCTTATTTATTGTTTAAATGTCTCATTTGTTTTTTAAATTCAATGCATTGACTTATTTCTATGGATGTTGCAATGTAACATTTGTCTTTAAATATCTTGCAAAAAAAATAAAAACAAACAAAAAAAACAGCCAATGTTCAAATTTTCAAGGAAATGGGAAGCACACATATATCCTGTCGTGGTCTTATTAAAAATCAAGGAACGATGTATTTAATGAATTTTTTAAACGACATTTAACGTTAAGGTTAAAGAGAGATATTTAAAGAGAGGGGGAGCAATAGAGCTTTGCAGAAGGAAAATGAGGGTGGGGAGACAACAAACAGTTAAAGTGGTAAAGATGTTGAGTCCATTTATTAGTGCAACTATTTATTTGATCTGAAATGTAGTATTAATTTTAATTTTAAGAGTCAAGAGGTAGGGAGTTTCATTTCTATCTTTTATTCTAGAATTTAACTAACGGGGGTATAATGTACAATACACATGTATTCTATCCTATTATCATTTATCACCATAGCCCCTGGGTGGCATTGGTGGACCAGGGTGCCTCATTCCACCCCTTGGATGTGATGATACTTGTTCTAAAATCTTCCACATATCTACAGACAAATAAACTGTAGATTCTGGGAGGCACATTGGTTTTATCTACACAATCTGGCAGCCAACTCTGCAACTGATAATGCTGAGAAGGACCTGTGTTGTGATAGGGATATATGAATTAGTTAAGGTACCTCAAGGCTTAGTCTTGTATCTTACCCGTAGGGACCACCTCTTCCAGCACCCATGAATATTTGTCTTCTTTCCTGCTCGCGTTTCCGCTGTTCCTTCTTCTTGTTTTCGGTAGGTGGCTTGGCCATGGACACTTCTATTTCCTGTTTGCCTAGTTTCTGCAAAAAAAAAAAAAAGCACATTACCAAAAACAGAGAATGATAGATAAGTGAATTATAGTGTTAAAGAAGTTGAAGCAGAAATTGACCTTGAGGAATGAACAGTGGTTATATTCTTTGCCGTCAAGTGTTAAGAACATTTCCTTGAAATATTTACAGTTCACAGGAATCTTTCATTGGCCTGCAGGAAATTTAACCTGACAACTGCAACAAGTGAGTTACCAAATCACCCATTCTTAATTTGCCTTAGTTGGGTTTTACAACTGAATGTCGCATCATATTTAACATAACTTTTTCAAAGGGCTACCAGTGGCATGAATCAATACCTGACATCAATATCTTTCACACCCGATAGAAAATTCTCCCTTCAGTCTTTCAAAACAAATTTGCTCATAACTGAATTCCCAACTTCACACAAAATCATTTCGTAAATAGTCTTCATTTAAATTGATGCAAAAGCTGTCTACACATTTTGCAGCCAACCCTGTAAATTTTTTGGGTTTATTGGAGTTTTATGTCTTATTAACAGCTAAGGTCATTTAAAGACATGCAAGGTTTTGGTGGTAGAGGAAAGCCCGAGTTCCTGGAGAAAAACCACTGACCTACGACCAGTACCTGGCTACTGCCCCATGTAGGCCTCAAAGCTGCGACCCAGTGGTCCAGGGCTAGTGGTAGCAGAATGTCAGACGCCTTAACCACTTGGCCACCGCGGCCCATACCCTGCAGAGAAGGACCTGTACTAGGATGTTCAGGGCAACTATAGCATTGCTCACCTGGCCATTCATGGCTTCCTGAGCTTTCATGGCATCGTCTCTCTCCTCATAGTGGATAAAACCATAGTCCTTGATCTTCTTGGCACGCTCAATCTTGCCAAACTCACCAAACTTTTCTTTAAGGAGTTCTTCGGTGACGTCATTGGTGAGATTCCGCACATACAACACCTTTACCTGAAACACATAAAATCTGAATATTCATTGACGTAAACAAAGATCATCTTTCAGGTAAGGTGGTGTGAACATATAGTCATATCAAGATGTTCTTGTGATTATTTTGAAAAAAACAATGAGCATGTTTGACTCCCCAAAACAAGCTTTGACCCTTGGGTTTGAACACTCCGGCCTTCCAAGCAGGCAGCCGGGGATCGATCCCCAAAGTCGCCATTCACATGGAATATTTGAGAAAGTGTTTTTCACCTGCCCACACAACTCCCAACAACTCAGGTGGAGTATAAAATGGTCTGGGGTGGGTGTTGCGGCATCTGAGCTGTAGCATTCAAGTGAGGTGGCAATATAAATGATACCATTGGAAGCACGTTCCCAATACAAACAGAACACAATACATTTCCTGCACACACACATAGGGAGATACTAGTAGTTAGCGCCCGATAAGGCAGCTCCTGCGAATTTCTAAATATTGAATTGATTGATATATATATGCTAATTGCATCGACTGTATAAAGTTGTATATCTATGTACTGTAAAGCGCTTAAGAGTGACTTATGTTAGCTAGATAGGGCGCTATATCAAATGTTGTATACTTTGTTTTATTTATTTGACAAGTGCTGTGACCCAACAAAATTTAAGGAAAATATAATTGGAATTTCTGCAAATGCTTAACCTAACTTTTTATTATTGTCAGTCTTAGTCACAAAGAAGCTTTCTTCACTGTCCTATCTACAAGTACCTATCCAGAATATTTATTTTGGGACACAAGTATTCTATAATATATTGAATTTTGCCAAAGTACCTTTGCCATTGTATTGTCATCTGGTTCATCAATAGGATCTGCCCAGTCTACAATGATATCACAGCCCCACACTTTGATCCTGCCAGAAGCCAACTTTCTTTTGGCTGTGGATGCAGATTTGTGAGAATCGTATTCCAGGAAGGCAAATCCTCGGTTCTTTTGATTTTCCTTTTCAGCAGATCTGTATATAATAACCTGAGACAAACCCTCTGAAAAAATATAATATTTTATGTTTATACATGCAGTATCTTAATTAGATCTCCAATCTATAAAATCACTTTAAAAACAAAACATGCAACATAGAACATTCAGAACAATCAGATGCAATGACTTTCATGCATATCACTGAATTAACCCTTAGGCTGCTACGCGCGACATGTCGTTTTGAAAAGTCGGGCCGTCAGTGCTACGCACGACATCTGTTGTTTCTCGGTCTGTAGGTTTTAATAAGCAGCCAGGAAGAGTGAAGTCGGGTTGTTGCTATACCAAACCCAAACGTGTATAGTAGAAGGCTTCCGATTGGTTGTTTTGTCATTACTTTCGATATTCATGGCAGTGTACACTAGTAAAGGTGTGCGAGAGAATTTCAAATCGAAAAAAAAAGTCATGAAAATGGCGGACGTGTAGATTGAAGCATGAATATGATGGTAAACATTTATTCTCCATCGTCACCTACAATGATAATAAAGGTTTTGAAGGGTTGGCATGGTTGATGTGGAAATACTTGGATGCAACATAATACGTAACTTTCCAATAAACGGATTTGTGCCCTACGCAAACAGGAAAATATCAGCGGACCGAGGCGCACATGTCGTCTGCAGGTGAGGCCGAATTGAACATTGACATTGATACCTTTTGAGCCGATTTATTTCTTCAAACTTTTTATCGGTTATTTCATCATAAACTAGAACGTAGCTAAGATATATCTACATGCGGACTGTGACAGTAAATGTATTGAATGGCGACCTGAAACCTGTAGCAAATCGCATGCAATTCTTGACGAAATACCTGACCTTTTCACCCGAGAATCTCCTATAAATATACAGCGTCTTATGTCAAAAATGAAGTTTATAATCTCTGTTATCATTTACCAATCACATTTGCGGAGGAAAATAATTTTAAAATGATCTTCCTCTTGCTTAAATCCGATTAATCAAAAGTTTCACATTTTCTTACCTTTATTACCACCTGTACAGGTAAATATTGAGGCAACTTTAGAATTGAAAATGTTCATATAAACTAGAGACAACAACAAACAACTTTCATACAACTTTTTTTCACATGGAAATCAATGTAGCAGCCTAAGGGTCAAGAAATATGAAAACCTTTAAAACACAAAAGTTACCTGTCTTTTTTTCAAATTCTTCATGTATTTCATCTCGTGTCTTGCTTTTTGGGATGTTTCCAACAAACAATCTTTGGTTGGCGACGGATATATTTACTTTAATATTCTTTCCTTCTTTAATTGGATGATTTTCAAGCTGTGAAAATAAAGCCATTAAAAAGTTAATTCTCTAAAACAATCAAAAAGATTTCAAATATTATTCAATACCAGATAAAAATAAAACATGAATTTTCAAAATTCAAATAAAACTTTTACACTGGAAAACTTTCAAGCCTGTCAAATTCCTTTTTATTTACCTTGCTTACAGCTTCCTGAGCTCCAGCTTTGTCACAGTATGTCACAAAGCAGTAACCCCTGTTGAATCCAGTCATAGGGTCCATCATGAGACGCAAGTCCCATATTCTTCCGCATTCTTCAAACAGTGGTACAAGTTCATCCTCAAAGACATCTTTAGGTATCTTGCCCACAAACACCTTAAGTAGAAAAAGCAAACAATTGCTATTTGCATCCTTCAATATCAAATCCACATCACCATCAATATTTACAAGAAGGCCCAATTGTATAAACCATTGGTCAAACCTCTTGTACGTACGTTACAATTGACAAGGAATTCGACCTTATGTAAAGACTCACTGATGGGTTAAAACTATCATACAGATACAAGACAAAAGAAACCAATTAACTTGAGAGTATAATAGAAATTTACTTTCTCACTATTTAATTACTATCAAATTACCTCATGTCCAGGTCCCGGTGGAGTTGCATCTTCTTCTGTACCAGGAGGGGGGCCACCATACTTTCTTTGCCCTGTAGTCACGTCTAAAGAGTAGCCCGTCCTGTCCAAGATTTCCTAGGTGAGCAAATGAACATTGTTATACAAATTCTCTTTTAATACATATTATTTTGATGACTAATAAAACAACTAGCCTTTGAACTTTGCCCGGTTTTCCAACCATTTCATATTAAATGACCATGTGTATAAATGACACTAAAATGTAACATTTATTTTTGGAAATAAAGAGTGTCAAAAACAACCAGATATCCTAGCATTTAACAGGAAGTACAATACATAATTATCAAAAAAAACAAGCTTCTGAAGGATGCCGCAAGTACCAATTTTGATTGGTTTTCATCTTTTTTATATATAAATCATCCAGAAACTTTGCAATGCCTTAAAGTAACCTCACTTTTAATTTTTGTTCATCTGGTCCTTTAGCTGTAGCTGCTGACGATCCCTGCTTTTTGTTCTGGCGATAAGTTTTCATCATTCCACATAAAAATGCACTTTTGTTCGTTACATGTTCTAAACAACTTTCACTGAACTGTTTCAGAACAGCAACACCATCGTCTGGGTTGAATTCTTTCAGAGCATCCAGCGCTCTTTCATCAAGTTCGTCATGGTCAAGTTTATCTATAAAAATATATTAATTTCCAGCAACATAATAATCAGGTAAGAAATTTGCTAGTCAGATGAACAGAAGATTTTATTTTAACTGGAAAGAGATTTCCATGAACTAATGACAACAGGTTTATCTGATGATAATCAAGATTCTACTTCACATCACTTGTTTTGCCAACCTTGTGCAGGGAAAATCCTTGAATTTGAGAGCAGTGGGCCATTTTCAGCCTACAGTTTTTGTCAATTTCAAAATGAAGGGAGATCATTATATGTAAAATTAAAAGAAAATTGGAACATGGAGGGGTCAATGATCCAGGATTATCCCTGTTGTGTGCATATGTTTCGGTGCATCACTTCAAAGAGATTAATACCATTGTGAATAACATGTTGTATTGCTTTGTCAATGTGAACAAACACTGCACAAATTTTTAAGCACTAGCTTCATGGAAGGTTTTGTATACTGATCTTGTGTGCTTTTATGATCTTTCAAACAAGTCAGAAACGACATTTCCAACAGCCAAAATTGTACAATTTGAACACTTTTTCAGTTCCTGGAATTGGTTTCTAATATGGACAAACTGCAACTGGATAATTGGTTAACTGTTCCCACCCTAGTATTATTAATTATGTTAGTCAAGGTGTTTTTCTTTTTTAAAGCTTTCTCATTCACATACCTTGGCTACACATTTTCTGGAGTTCATCAGCAACTTTAACATTAATACCATAGTCTAAAAGTTTCTGATGATTTTTTGGGTTTTCATTTTTTGATTCATTGGTGTCCATTGTGTCTGCCAAAAGTTGTTCCTCTGCCGCTTGATCCATTTCTTCTATTCCATTTTGAGCCATCTGATTTCTGTCAACAAATGAAATGAAAGTATTGTACTGTTTGTTTGTAGTTAGCTATTACACGAAAATGTTACAATTTGGATACAACAGCATGTATGACTGGGTATCCTGCTGCCATGCCCAAGTTTAGAATTGGGCTCTGTTGTTACCAACCATCTGTGGTCAGTCACAAGATCCATAGGCTAATTGGAGATTGTTACGAATGCAAAATTGCTCACTCTCCAAAATAATCTTTCTCATTTATAGAAAGCTAGCCTTTTGTATGCAACATCCAACACTCAAAGAAAGCAAACTTCAAATCAGGAAAATATATTGAACATTAGTATACTTTGCAAAAAAACACACACTTTCTTCATGAAAAAAACCCAGTCAAATTTATTAATTTAAATACAGGGTTTCATTCAGGATTTATGACATTTGTGTACATGGCCCCCTCCTTTCTGACAATTGGGGGGCCACCTGAGGAGCGAAGCGAAAAGTGTGTGGGGGTGGGGGGTCGGGAGGGGCCCCGGTGCTCTCTGGTGACATTTGGGCTATTATTTCATGTTGGTTCTACAAGAAATATATTTCCATAAAAAGCCATGTTTTTATCTGAATTTTATGATTTTATATTCAGACTCATTAGTCTGGTTGCCTTCTCCTCTATCCATTTTGCAACTGATTACAGTTCCAAACTGAATAGAGGAGAAGGGAACCAGACTATCAGACTCATCAGAACTCTCTGTTTTCCTTCTACGTCGGTACGCCCGAGAAGTTCCGGAATGCGACAGTCTACCATTACAATGATGTCCACATCAACGAATTTACTGATTGATCAATACAAAATACTGCATTATTAAGGTTAGTGAAATATTGTCTTGTCTATTAAATTTCTTTATTCCCGCCCCCAATTTGACATAATGCGTACACGGGCGTATTTCTGCGGGATTTTACCCGCACATGATTTCTATTTATGCGGGCATGTTTTCATATTTGCGTCATTGACACAATGCCGTGCCCTAAATGCAACCCTGTAAATAGATTGATCATTGTCGATAACAAATGAAGCTTTTCTTACAATGTTTTTCTGCGAAAAACAAATGAAAACTTACAAAATAAAATATACATTACTACTGGTGTAGCGACTTGGGAACTGGATAGAAGTTGAACAACGCAGTTAGTGTCCGTCTTAAGATCAGAGGGCTGTGTGTACCGGTTTGAACTCCAGTCTGGCCGTCCAATTTCCCACTCCCTACTTTTTCTTAACGTCGTCAGTGGTGTAGCATACATGTATGCTCCACTAAAATTTTCCATGATTTTCCTAGAATCATTTTTTTTATTTATTAATTTCATCTTTCAATGTTTAACCTGGACCGTCCGTATCAATCATAAAAAAGGAAAGAAATAAAATAAATATTCTTGAAAATGTTAGTCTGATAAAATAGTGTTATTTTGTGAAACATCTCGAAGGTTTATGTAAATCAAAAACTTGGTGAACGTCGGGTTTAACTCAATAACAATCAGTCTTAAAGAAGTTCCTAGAACACGGGAAACTGCTTCTATGGCCTAGTAGAATTATTCCCGCTATATCCCTCTCATACCAACCCCTCGGACGCTCGTAAACAAACACTCCGAAAAATGATTGCTACGACACTGATCGATCGAGTCTAACCAGCAAGTGTTGATCCGCCCCTCCCTCAGAATGACTTGCATCCCCAACAATAAACAACCAAATCAGCAAGCAACATAAAGTGGTCATTGACCTTCAACTTTTTTAAATCAATGCACATACTAGGGTAAAAAAAGTCAGCATTTAAGAATATTCCTGCAATAGACTCCGTGGGCGTGCTTTTATTACCAAAGCAAAATGGCGGAAAGCCTGGATCTGCACAAATGCTTGATATTCAGCACACATCCTTCCAAATTCGACAGATTCGAAGAGGATAATTAAGCCTTCATCATTGCGAGTAATTGAAAATTATTTTGGGAGCTATGGGAATCAGTGACGAAGCACCGTTTATTGCGAATCAAAGAGGGCAGGTGCGCGTGGTTTCGGATTGCTCGCCTTTGTCGGCACGCGCATCATATATTGCATTGCCTTTTCATGTGATTTCCGCCGCTTCAACTGAGATCGAAAAATATTTTTTTCCACAGAAAATTATTTTAAAAAAGTACATACCTTTTTAAACAGGGAGCCAAAAAATAAACGTTTTAAGGTTCGAATTCCTGAACCTCACCCGCCTTAATTGACATTTGCGGCAAGAAAGAATGGCGAAATTGGGGTTTACAACTTTGAAAACAAGGTCATAATCTCGAACCTACTTTCATAAATGATCAAGACAAATTCTCGTACCTGTATTTATCTTATTCAATAAAAAAAATTCTAACGGAACAAGATTTTTTTTTTCAATTCTCTTACAATAAATTAGCTATTTTAGGAAAGAATCTATTGAAAGAGTATATCTGTTTTGCAATGATGTAAACAAAGGGCGGGCACCAACGCGATCAATCGGGAAATGTCGGCACTTTCCGTAAACGAGCGCCGACTGTTCCAGATTGCGACTCAGTAAAAGTAAATAACGACAACTCTGTAAAGATCACACCAAATGACGTTTCGGCCGGCACCCAGAAAGGTCACCATATTCTGTTGTTATCACTTGCTGGGAATTGGTATATAGAATTTAAGTTAGGGGATAAAAATGAAAATGTTGATTTTCCGGCAAAGTTTTGTTGGCAATTGAAGAGATTAAAAACCTCCCCGTTGCCCGGGCCTTGAGTATTGTTTCAACAAACCTTTAATTATTTCCAACGGAAAATAGAACATATTAAGATCGAAGTGGTTGTATCTCAACTACTGTAAAATAACCTCATCATGGGAACGGAATGAGTGCCTAGTGGCAGGGACGTATAACTATATACTGTCCCTGTTAGTGGGTAATGGAATTCACGACGGGAGCAGGGACAGGAGCACTTTGTTTTCAATGAGAGAAAAAAAGATAATCAGATCAAAGTAAAAGAGAAATGTCCGCATGTCATTGTTACAATGGCCATGTTCTTTAATTGTTCCTGCAAATGTTTGGTATTTAGTATACATCGCAGACTCAGAGGCGTAACAACCTATGTAGCAAAAAGGCACGGGCTTACACATCATTTTTTTAAAATAGACTATTTGATAACTACTAAAAAGAAAAGATTTGTAAAATAATAGGGGAAAATTATATTTTCTTGCTTTAAAAGGGCGATTGAAACTGACGCCAGAGCACGGGAGAACGCATCTCAGACGTTCTAGAAAACAAAATTCCCTTGGGGGAGACCCCCAACGATGGGAAGGGGAAGACCCCCAACGATGGGAAGGAGAAGACCCCCTCCCATATCCTACCCCTACTCGCGCTGCTGCCTTTGGCAGCACATTTGATCATTGTTACGCCCCTGAGACTGGGTCGATCGCTGGCTCAATTTGTAGATCGTCTGTCTAGAGATCGGAGGGTCCCGACTTCGAACCCTGGTCTTGCCCCCTATCATTTTTAATAAACCCACGGAAGTTGGTATAGGGTCAGGTCAGAAGACCATGTTTAAGCTTGGAGTAGGGTAGCATAACTAGACTGAGTCGATCCAGGTAGTTCAGTTGGTAGAGCGTCTGTCTAGAGTTCGAACCCTGGGCCCGTATTCGTGAAAGCGATATCATGCTCAAGCATGGATTTTGTGCTCAAGCCTAATTTCTTGTTTTAGTTATAAATTACTAATAATAAACAAAGTCATGTTTCGCACTCTATACGTAATGGTTATTATATGAAGTTGCATATTAAAAAACATTCAACACACATGGTATTGCAATTAGGTTTGCGTGTTTTGAATGGGGGCTACATCAGCACTACCACTCACTACCTTCTGGCAAATTGTCACGATCCTAGTCTTTTTCAAGTAAGAGTGCAAATGACCGGTTTTACTCTAAACCGCTGAAAACGTCAGCTGTCCAAAATTATCGACACATTTCGTCTAAACAGCCAATTAATACTGCAGATAGTCGAAGGGACGGGTAATATGTTTACTCATTTCGCCCCTTAGTCGATGTTAAAATGTGGTCACAAGATGTATCGGCTAGTGTTGTGTGGTCGCACAGGTTTGCGCAACACTTTCAACAAGAAAATGTTCCAGGCACCCCATTTGATGTATGGTATAATGACCATACAGTTAGTCTTTTTTCTGTGTTAGTACGTTTATGTTTTTTTCTATTCCCCCAACTGACTATTCAGGTATGCACATGTTATCGGGCCCCCGTTTGATATGTCGCTTTTCATTCCCATGTCTTCCTGTTCAGGTTCGCTGTTAATAGATCTGCCCAGACTGATGTGAATTAAAACACCAGCAATTTGAATGATTCGTCAGCTCTTCTTAAAAGGGTATCTAAGAAAGGAATTTTCCGTCTGCTTCTTTTCTGATGGAAAAGGAATAGCACGGTATACATGCTGATATTGCCCGGAGCAGTTTTCTACGTTTGTAGATATAATCCACAACCTTGTTGAATGTCATAGATCTGACCATGTAAAATATACACGCCAAGAAGAAAATACATCAAAAATTTGCAACTTCAACATTATCCCTGAAGTGTGTAGGGTAGGGAGATTACTTTAAAAGAGAACGAAGAAAAAACTACATTTATCTCGCCCACATAAAGCTCCGTAAGACAGCCCTTTCTGGAAAATATTTAAAACGCGAATATTAAAATTTTGTAAATCAAATGTTCGCTTGATAGCTGAGGTACCGTCCTGTGTTGGAGATATCTGGTTCATTAGACCTCTTCTTCTGGAAGAGTCCATCATGAAAGTCGACCCGTTATTGGAAATAAAGCCCAGTTACGGCAACTAGAAAAAGCGTTTTTGAAATGTCAAGAGCTAGTCAAGGACTGTTATGAAATATGTGTGCAAAGAGCGAGTGAAGTGCTAGTTTTCCTTATAGCCGACCTCGATCATAGCTTATGCACTCAAAGGATACAGCATGAAAACAGACATTATGCGAAAAATGTTGCAAGATGTATTGAGAGCTCTTTTCCTTGAAGGTATGTACACAGTCGTTTCCTACGATGGTCAGTGGGCAAAGTTGGCATTTCAAACTGAGGAAGGGGTACAACTTACCCTTTTGGAACTGCAAAAGAAGGTATTTTCTGATGCGCAAAAGAAAAGCGCTAAAGTACTGTGCGATGAGATATTTCAAACAGGAGTAGTGCAGGTTTTAAGCTATGATGACGTCTTGCGTGAACTCTATGTAAAGAAACTATCCTCGGGTTTTCAATTGGGATTAAAGAACACTCCAAAAAATGGTAACGTTCATGAAAACAAGCAGCAAACAAAAGAAAAAAGATCTTTCATGAGAACCGTGAACTTGGATGAAGTCCTCTCTAATATTCCTTCAGAAGAAATGTCAGAAAGCGATACAAACATTTTCCAGTCACTTCCTGCATTAGAGCCCCAAAAGCAATATTCACCAGCTATTGCGTCTGTTGAAAACGGGAATGATTATGCAGTTGATCCGATGGTGACTTCGACAGTAGAAGATATGATTACATGAAATGTTCCTGAGGAGGAATTTCAACGGTGTGACTCCGGCATGGCGGAAGACCAGTTTGAACACACGAATGTACCAAACAAACAGTCAGTTTCTCAATACACTTGAAAAACGTATCCCTTTATATATTGACAGATTACTTTGAAGTAAATGATTTTACGATCGAGGCAGAACAACCCATCATATTGTGATTTGAACGTGTGTTATAGCATGGTTAATTCGACATTCTTTACTGCCCCTTCCCTTACAATATCCTTCAAAAGTGTTGTTAAAAAGCAACATCTTAGTATATCTATTCGCCGTACTGTTAACATCTATTCGCCGTACACAGACGAAAACATTTCAGTCAATTACATCGTAATTACTTCATTTAGACAATTATATGTATATACCGATCTCATCTACATATGCCATTTACGTCCGTTTCGTCATCGTATATGTCGTACTTTAATAGTTATGTTATTGTTTCTTTGTATATGATTTTGTACCGGTACTTTGTTGTCATTTGATACCAATATCTTAAGATGGCATGAAATAGTTTACAAGTATCTGCATCACACACATCATTGTTCATTGGTTTAACTGTTGTGCTCCTTTATTGGTCTCTGCACTACCAGAAAATACCAGAACAATCGGAAAACTTACCGTGACTTCACTGCGCCCAGCTTTTCCGGTGTCGGTCAATCAACCTGGTTTAGGCGAGTTGATAGCTTATTTTCTTCACCTTTCTCAGTTTTTTCCCTGCCGAATCAGCTTAATCTATGATTATGCTTATTCAGAACTCATCAAATTCATTAACAGTATTAAGGTTATGTATAGTTTACTACAGTTCTATGAGCAGATGAACTTTTTTTCTTATAAGGTTCACATTTTGAACTTGATAATGTGTATGTTCGATTTATGCTGCAAAAGGGATTTCACTAAAAATTTGCAAATGCTATCAATGCTGTCAGATCCACCATTTCGTGATTTGCTGAAAAGTGGCAGGGATTATCCACATTGTTCTGGACAAAGCATCATCTTTCAATGTTGATGTAAATTCAAATGTGCATCTGAAAACTTATTTTACTGGTCCAATGATTCGGACACTAAGCAAGACAGTTCTTCAATATGTTTCCGACAATCTTTTTCTTTGAACAGGAAATCTGCCAGAGCAACCCTTTGAAAACACATTCTGATAACAAAGTTTCAGTAGGCCTATTATGCCCAGGCTTTGGTAGGGATCACTGACCAACTATCCTGATGATGCATAACTTACCCAAAACATATGACCACAAGTAGGGTGTTTTCAATACATATCTCCAACTACCTAAATTGATTGATTTTATCTAATTTGGAGTATAAATAAATGAAGTCGATCTTTCCTACCAAGTTTCAGTTCAATCGGCCCAGCAGAACTTGACTTTTAAGTTTGAAATAGTTTTTCAAAATGGCGGCCGTATTGGATTTCTGATCGACCCGAAAAATAACAACACTTGGCCAGGGAGATGTCAGTAACCTTCCCATGAAATATTAATGAAATCCCTTTGCCAGTATTTCAGCTTAAGTTGAAAATGTAAAATGTAAAATGTTAACAAATGACGCACAAGTAAGACGGATAGCAATAGGTCACTTGAGTCGATCATTCCTACCTACCAAGTTTCAGTTCAATCGGCCCAGCAGAACTTTACTTTAAGTTTGAAATAGTTTTTCAAAATGGCGGCCATATTGGACTTCTGATCGACCC